CTATACTGCAGTTCTTAAGTTAACTATACTGTTGTTTACAAGTTGACCATACTGTAGTTGACAATTTGACTCTATACTGAGGTTGACAGGTCGACTATACTGCAGTTCTTAAGTTAACTATACTGTTGTTTACAAGTTGACCATACTGTAGTTGACAATTTGACTCTATACTGAGGTTGACAGGTCGACTATACTGCAGTTCTTAAGTTAACTATACTGTTGTTTACAAGTTGACTATACTGTCGTTCTATAGTTGACTAGATACAAAGTTGACCATACTGTCGTTCTATAGTTGACTAGATACAAGTTGACCATTCTGTCGTTCTATAGTTGACTAGATACAAGTTGACCATACTGTCGTTCTATAGTTGACTAGATACAAGTTGACTATACTGTCGTTCTATAGTTGACTAGATACAAGTTGACTATACTGTGGTTCTATAGTTGACTAGATACAAGTTGACCATACTGTCGTTCTATAGATGACTAGATACAAGTTGACCATACTGTCGTTGACAATTTGACGCTACCGTAGCTGACATGTTGACAATACAGTACGTACTGTAGTTGACAGGTTGACCAGACTGTAATTCTGAGGGTAACTACCGGTATACTGTAGTTGACAAGTTGACTATACTGTAGTTAAAAATTTGACTACCATAAGTTGACGACTCTTACTGTAGTTTACAGATTAACGATCTGGTGCAGGATGTTCAAGCCGACCATGGCCGCCTAAGTTGATGACTATACTGTAGCTGACAATTTGACGACTATGCATGTACTGTAGTTTACAAGTTGACCACTATACTGTAGTCCACAAGTTAACAATCTGGCGGCGTACTAAGTTGACTATACTGTAATTCACAGATTCTCGACTATACTGTAGTTCATGGATTGACGACTATACAGTAGTTCATGACTATACTGTAGTTTACAGATTCATTATTATACTGTAGTTCACAGATTTACAACTATACTGTAGTTCAAAGATTGACAACTATACTGTAGTTCACAGATTCACAGATTGACGACTATACTGTAGTTCACAGATTCACAGATTGACAACTATACTGTAATTCACAGATCGACGATTATACTATAGTTGACAGATTGACAACTATACTGTAGTTCACAGATCGACAACTTTACTATAGTTGACAGATTCACAGATCGACGACTATACTGTAGTTGACAGATTCACAGATTGACGACTATACTGTAGTTCACAGATTCACAGATTAACAACTATACTGTAGTTCACAGATCGACGACTATACTGTAGTTGACAGATTCACAGATCGACGACTATACTGTAGTTGACAGATTCACAGATTGACGACTATACTGTAGTTCACAGATTCACAGATTAACAACTATACTGTAGTTCACAGATCGACGACTATACTGTAGTTGACAGATTCACAGATCGACGACTATACTGTAGTTGACAGATTAACGATCTGAAGCAAGGTGTTCATACCCACCATGACAGCGTACTATGTTGACTCTACTGTAGTTTACAGTTTCACGACTATACTGTAGTTGTGACTATACTGTAGTCTACACTTTCACGGCTATGATGTGGTCTACAAGTTGACGACTATACTGTGGTCTACAAGTTAACGACTATACTGTGGTCTACGGATTAACGATCTGGTGCAAGATGTTCATGCATACTATACTGTAGTTCACAGATTCACGACTAGACTGTAGTTGTGACTATACTGTAGTTCATAGATTCACGACTAGACTGTAGTTGTGACTATACTGTAGTTCACAGATTCACGACTAGACTGTAGTTGTGACTATACTGTAGTTCACAGATTCACGACTAGACTGTAGTTGTGACTA